TAGTGCATCTTCTCGTTTTCATCTCTATTCATTGGTTGGTGCAACAACTTTTTATAGCAACAGTGTGATGTATAATAAGCGTTTTATCGTTTTCTTAAAATTTACAATTTTCCCTTGATTACATTCTACTATTGCACCCCCTTTCCACATCTTCGCCTCCTCGTCCCCATCACCTCCCTCATCCATCTTTTGCCCTCGCCCCCCTCTCCCAAAATCTGCTTCCTGTCCATTGCCTCCTCCCTTAGCTCACTACACCCTCTCAGCATGTGTTCCAGCGTCTCCCAATCCTCTCCACACAGCCTACACCACCTCTCCACATCGTCCGCCCAGTACCTATTCCCCCTCCTCATTGCCACAGCGGAATCTTGCCACCAATCTCTTCCCTTCATCAACCCCTTCCATCAACAATTACTTTGGCAGTTCCTCTGTCACTATCTCCCCATACCTTTCATTATATCTCCCTTCTCGTATCTGTGACCTTCTTTCCTGCCTCTGTGTATCCCTGTCCCTATCTCTCAGTCCTCTCCACATTTCACCTCTTTCCGCTCTTCTGTTTTCGATCCCAGTTAGTGAATATCCCACTTTTCTATAATATTCTTCCCTGTCTCTTTGCCCATAGATTAGCCTTCTCTCCTTAATTTCCCTCCAGCATTCTCTCAGGATCCTGCAATACGGTCTTGCTTCTATCATTTCCTCATACTTCGCTGCTCTTCTCCCAGCCTCCACCCTTACTGGATCCACCTTGACCTCCTCCTCACTATATACCCTGGAGTCTCCCTTGCCAACCCTAGTACCCATCTCCAATACCGTGTTTGTATATCCTTATATACTTACCTATATACTTCTGCGCATCATTTCATCATTTCCATAAATTGTGCTCCTTGCCAAGCCATCAAACATAACCTTTCTTTTTCCCATGTCCCTCCCAAAAGTTCTTTCCCCCCATCCCAAACCTGTCCCATCACCCTCACGTGCGCCCCGACCTTATTATTTTCCGCCAACCCATATCCCATGTAAGTACGTGTACTCTTTCACTTGCTCTATCTTCCCTGCCACATCCATTCCTCCTTTCTTCTCCCCACTTTGCAGAACTTCGTTATCTTTGTTTTCTCGACGTTTACCTCCAACCCCTTCTACCTTAAATTTTAATAATTAATTAATTAAAATTTACATTTTTATTTAAAAAAAATAATTTTAAGAACGTTACCCAAATTACAAATAAAATTTGACATTTTTAACAAATTTTAACCTGAAAACACGTTATACATAACCTCAAACAACAATCAAAATTAATCCTAATGAATGCAATTAAATTTTAATAATTAATTAAAATTTACATTTTTATTTAAAAAAATAATTTTGAGAACGTTACCCAAATTACAAATAAAATTTGACATTTTTAACAAATTTTAACCTGAAAAACACGTTATACATAACCTCAAACAACAATCAAAATTAATCCAAATAAATGCGATTAAATTTTAATAATTAATTAAAATTTACATTTTTAATTTAAAAAAATAATTTTTGGAACGTTACCCAAATTACAAATATAATTTGACGTTTCTAACAAATTCTAACCTAAAAAACACGTTCTACATAACCTCAATCAACATTAAACGTAATAAATGCAATCAAATGAAGAACAAACGTTGGAAATGTTATCGGATGAAGAATTTCAATCTATATTTCGTATGTCACGAAAAACTTCAATTGCTTTGCAAGCTGAATTAGATGTTTTGTCAAACATCGATAATGAATCAACAGATAAAAATCTCCTTTTTTGTTTGTGGTATCTTGGAAATAACGAGCCGATTACCTCAGCTCCGCATATTTTTGATTTAAACGAAGATGCCGAAGAAGTATTAATGGTTTATTTAGATAAATTAACCTCGTTGGGTGCAAATTATATAAAGTGGCCTGATGAGGAAGAATTCGAACAAATCGAAGTTGGTTTTAAAAGGATGTATGGTTTCCCTGGGGTTGTTGGAGTGATAGGAAGCTTACATATTCACATTGCGTCCCAAGGAAACGATAGTAAATATTATAATAAAGAAATGAAGGGTGATACAATCGTTCTTCAAGTTGTGACGGATAATAATTTGTTATTAAGGGATGTTTTTGCTGGATCACCAGGTGGAAAAGACGTTGAAACTATTCTAAAATCAAGTGGTTTATATCAAAAATTAATAGATGAAAACGAATATTTAACTCGGTGTAATAAACATTTATTAGGAGGAACATTACATCCGCAAATGAAAACGTTGTTAACACCTTACAAAGTATTGGGCGAATTAACGGAAAGGCAGTGTAAATTTAATTATTTGCATAATTCGGTTATGTTTAATGTAGAACAAACTTTTCGATGTATGGAAAATCGGTTTCTTCGATTAACAACAGTTGATTCGCTAGATCCTTTACTCTGTTCATCGGTTGTTAGTGCAATTTGTATTTTACATAATTTTACTAGAGTTAGAAATGATAATTGTAATATTTATATGTAAGAAAAAAATAAATAATAATAAAGTTTTTATCTCAACATATCAAAAAAATCTTTTAGAGGAAAATGAAATTGAAGGAATGAAACTTTTGGCAACACACAATTACTTGGCTTATGAAGCTAATTTACTAATCAAAAATCCTGAACAAGTGGAGTTACAGGAAAATATTAGAAGATGAGGGATCCTTTACAGAAAAATGATGCTATACAAAGAAAGATTAACTTTGCTGCTGGCACAGCGCCTCGAAGACAAGTAGTGGATTACTCTGATATTGTCAAGAAGCAACCACAACAAAAAGTCACTGGAATTAGTCACAAAAACAACAATGACCTCACCAACTGCGCGATACAGAAGTCTAGAGAGTTTCTAAAGAAAATTCGATGTGTCTCCAGAAGAAAAACATTACAACAAATCAAAAAAATCCTCACAAAAACACCTGGAAATATGTCACAACAAGGTGTAGCATTACCAAAAGAAGTTAGAGAACCACTTATCTTTACGAAGGAATTACATAACCTAGTAACTGAGTCAGAAGGAGAAGAAGCGGTTACATATTTAAATAATTTAGTAAAAGAAATTCCAATTGATGAAGACATTACTCTGGAATTCGAGGGGTCTTTCCAAGAATAAAGGTAGTATCTTTCACTTTCTGAACATGTATAAACAGGATGTAGTAGCAATAACAGAAACTTGGATGAAACATACCATATCTACACCTCGATATAGTCATCTATACGCATGTAGAAAATTACAGAAATTTCACATACTATGATAATATGTCAGCTTCAGTGAATAGAGTACACTTTTTATGTGTTTTCATAGACAATACCATCAAACTGTCCGGGTATATCCCCCCAGATGTTCACTTTGGCACAGAGGAATGGGAAGAGGTGCTCAGAGAGATCTCGCATCGATCAAATATCGTGTTGATGGGGGATTTTAATGCGCACTGCCAGCATGGAGTAACGTCATATTAAAAAGCGGTGATATTCCCTGAGACGTGGTATCACAAATATAGTTCCTATACCCAAAAAGGGGGGAGATTGAAAGTTGGTCACTTCTTATTCACTTCACCTTAAAAATTATTTAAGAAGGTAAAAGAAATCGCTCATTGAATCTCATATTTGACAACCTCGGTGCAGATGGCAATGACCAGAAGACTACCTTTAATAGCTGTATTTGTTGATCTCAAGGCAGCATAAGATAACGTTTCGATTCCTGTACTAATGGAAGTATTGTCGCAACATGGAGTGCTGTCTAAAATTATAAGTGTCATATTGTCAATATTTCAATGGAAAAAGGTGAAACTCAAGGGTGACTACAAGGCAGCCCATTACTATTCAATTTATATATTAATGGACTAAATAATGAAATAATACGAATTGAGTGTACTGCAGTGGCATATGATATCGTTGTATTCAGGTCGGATTGCAGGGTATGGAGAGCTTATTTGCATTTCTAGAAAGGAGGGCTTTGGATGTATCAGTCACAAAGACGAAGACCATGATTTTTAGCAGAAAGAGAAACATAAATTACCCAAATATACGCATAGGAGGTAAAGCGATAACATATCTACGTATCTTCAGGTACAATTTAACAGTAAACTTAGCTGGAAAAACAGATCCAAGTATCGGTTGGTGCTGCCGCGAAGGTAATGGACATTCTGAAGGCAATCTCATCGACTAAATGGGGTGGTGATCACGTAATCTTGAGAGTACCGCGCGCTGGTTAGATCGAGGTTACAGTTTATACTGCATAGCGTGATGACGGTTCCACAGGCTTCGTTCGCGCTCTTGGAAGGAATGACATACCGGCGTCTTCGTTGCATTTTTGGCTTACCGATGACTATTCCTACAAATGTGTTGGATGAACGTCCACTCAAGCTAACAGTAAAATTAAGAACAAGAAAATTTATTACGATACAAATCCTTAGAGAAATTGAGAGAGACAGTTTCAACCTTAAGCAAGACATAAGGCAAATCAGTTTTACAGTCCCATATGAGGTGTCTTACCGGACATTTGGGCTGGTCTTCGATATTCCTATTTACAATAGCATTATAATGGCCCACAGCGCATTAAACAAACAAATAATATCAGCCTCTTAGGTATAACATTAAACGAAAATCTAAAATGGGATTCTAATACGGAAAAAATAATAAAAAGTTTGAATAACACTTTATTTCAAATTCGAATATTACGGGTAACATTAAGCTGCGAGATACTAAAAGTGATATATTATGGCGAAGTATACCCAAAGCTGACGTATGGTATCACAGTATGGGGTTCACCATCACTCTTGAAAGAGGTTCATCAAAAAAGAATAGTAAGAGCGATTTGCAACGTAAATCAACGATCTTCTTGTAGACCGCTTTTCCAACAACTAAATATCCTACCAGTAATATGTATTTATATTTTAGAAATAGCTGATTATATCCACAAGCATAAAACAGCTCTTATACTTCAAAATAATGCTATACACGAACATAATACGCGCTGTGATCACATTGCGATAGCACAGCATAATTTGGCTATTATCTCAAATAGTCCCAATTTTTTAGGAGTAAAAATATATAACCACCTACCGAGACCGTTGAAATCTCTAAATTTAAGATTATTTAAATGTAAGTTAAAGTTATTGTTATTGGAGCATTGTTTCTATCATTTAAGCGAGTTCTTCGAGTTTAACTTGTAACTGGACGTTTTCTTCTGTTCTTTGTAAGCGAGGAAATAAAGAGATTATTATTATTATTATAAAGGGTACCCCGATGGGTGGAGCTAATAACATGTTTATGGAATACGTGGAAGATAGATGAAACGGCAACCCACACTTTTTGCACAATTATCGATAGGACTACCACCTCACATATCCATCTTTGCAGCTGAAGTACTCGGTATTGGTGAAGACCTCAATGTAGTGTTTCGTCGTAAACTTGAAAAGACTATCGTATTTACCGTCTCTTTAAGTGCTCTACTAGCATTTAAAAATTTTAGACCTGAAAGAACGGTTCATTACTTACTTGTCTCCATTATGAAGAAATTGAGTCTAATTGATAATAAGGAACTAATAAGTTATGTTGAGTACCATCTCATTGCGGAATACATAATAATGAGGCAGCAGATCGTTTGGCCCGTGAAGCTCTCAAGCTAACTCCGCGGTGTAAGAGTATTGATGTCATAGACACATATCCTTGTCTCTGGGATAGAATAAACGAGGATTGGACAAAGAGATAGCTCGGACTGCGACTGTGGAACTTGGAGGGACATTAATCACTATGTACTTTAATGTCCACTATGTGAGTATATAAGATCAGAATTAAGACACAAGCTACTGCAATACAATTTGCAGGAATCCACAGATATGAGAGACATTTTATTTAATTATGGTATTAGACGGGGAACTTAATTAGAATTTAATTTTTTTTTTCATTCTTTCCTTGTGTTCCAGAAGTAATACATATCATTCTTGTCCGAGGGGCTTCCTTATGAGACCTGTGTGAAATGAGACTCAGCCCTCAGACTCGAGAAGAGTTTATAATGTATGTTTCCTTTTTCTGTGTACTAGCTAAATAGTTGCTTGATAGATAGAATATCGCAATGTTTTTGTATATTTGCATACAGTGTTAATACGCGAGGCTTTTGTTTTGGCGGCTATCGATTGCCTTTTTATTCAGTGATTAATAATAGCGCACTGACTAATAATCCGCAATTTAAACGCAGTGACTGGGAAATAATAAGGACAAGTTTCCAAATCTCATTGCCAAGCCTTATCATTGTGAAGAAGAAGAAACTTTTTGAGGTTATAAAGTAAGAATTAATCTTTATTTTGTTGAAAATTTGATGTTTGTATGAGTATTCGTTTCGATGTTATAAATTGGTTAACTCGACATGACCTAAAAATAATTTATGTTTGTGTCATTAACTCATCTTCATCTCTTTGAATGAATCGTATTGAATTAATTAATTCTTTAGAAATAATTTCTATAAATAGAATACAAATGAATGGTTACTAATTTGATGATACTTAGTAAAAAGGAATTTTAATAAATTTTATGCAAGAATGAATCAGTGATTTGCACAAAAATAGATAATCAATTTGCAATTATTGAAATAAATCTTTTCGAAACTACTTTTTGTGAAATTCTTATTTTGCGTTTTGTTCAAAGTTCGAAGGATAATTAACATCTTTACTAATTAATCCATCTTAATTATTGTGTAAAGGATATTTATTTTCTTATTTTTCGAAATGTTATTTGAGAATTCTTTTAAATTGATTAGATACAACTTTTTTTAAACTTATTTCTCCTCTCAATAAGAAAAAACTGAAAAAAAATTAATCGTTATTGAGAGAGCTCGTTGCCATTGACCGTGACTGAGGTGAAACAAAACTAAGAGACAACATCGTCAATAATAAAGTTAACCTGGAGAAGGCGGATTCATTCGCACGCAATTCTACCTGTCCTCGACAGTTTTTTAATACACGATGAACGAGAGAATCCACCTCCATAAAAACCACTCAAAACGATAAGCAAAACTCACTCCCCAACAAAATCTTTTTCTATAATAATCAGATCATTATAGAAAAACCATTCAAAGTGTTTACTTCACTTTATTATTACAATAAATAAATTAAATTAATAATCAGAATCATGGTTAAATTATTTTTATTTGGTGTTCTTTTTATCGCAACGATTGCTCTTTCTTCTCAGGTGAGTTAATTTTTCTTTTTTGGGATTTTTCGAGGTGATTCTTTGTTTTATAACTCTTTAAAAGTTAATGAACTATCAAAAATAATTTTTTTTCATGATTTATTTAATGTGATGATGTAATCTATTTAGAAAAAAAAACCTTTTAAAAGTTATTTAAGTTTATTGTTTTCTTATCTGATTGTATTTTAACGATGCTTAAAAGATAAGATATTCGTGCAGTAAATTACTTTAAAACTGTCTTATTATTTAACAATTATGCATAGATTTACTTCACAAAAAGAATTCTAAACGACAAATTCCTTTCAATTCGAATCATTTTAATCGACTCACTCTTCTAGGAACCCCTTAAAGTCTCCGTTTTCTATGAATCACTTTGCCCGGATAGTATTCGTTTCATCACTCAACAGCTGGCACCAAATTACGATGCTTTAGCCGAGAAAATATTTGTTGATTTTGTTCCTTATGGTAAAGCTACTGTGAGTAATCACCACCTCAACATAAATTAAAATTAAATAAAATTTTAATTTTTTAGCATGAATTAATTGATGATAAATGGCACTTTGAATGCCAACATGGTGAAAATGAATGTTATGGAAACATGATGCAAGCGTGTGGATTAAATGAAACCGATGATCAAGCCACGCAAGTTAAATTTATCGATTGCGTTATGTCCGCAAGTTACCCCGCGAGCGATGCTTCCATGGAGGAATGTGCCATTGCAAGCGGAATTAGCTGGGATAATATGGTGGAGTGTTCTAAGAATGGTGTAGGGGCCAAACTTTTGGCTGCTTATGGTGATCGGACTCACGCCGTTGAACCAACGATCACTTTCGTTCCAACTATTATTTATAATGACGTTTATGATGCCGATAAACAACAAGGGTCTTTAGTTGATTTCTTGAATACCGTTTTAAATCAATTATAACTAAAATAAGAAAGAGCAAACACTTTTAGTGCCATATGTGAGATATTAATAAAACTTTAATATTGAATTTTGAAATTAAAAAATATTTTGTAATGTTACTTTCAACACATCAAAAACCTTTGTGATGTTAGTATCCAACTAATTGAGATCTAGTCCGAAATTAGTTGCAGTAGATTTATCCTTGTGGTATAAATGTAGTCTTGTGACATTGGAGTAGTAACTTTATCTTAAAGCTATGCCAATCAGTATGAGTTCGTTTAATTTACACTTAGGTTGCCTGTACAGTGGAACCGAATTCGGTCGACTTTACGAATCGGCCGTCTAATGACCGATTAGGTAGGCTGACTAAACCTCGTCCATTGCAACCGACTATTTTACACAGTAAGTGAATTGGCGTCTTAATAAGAATCAAAAATGTTTTAATTTGGTACTAAATATGATATATTTGGGTTAAAAAATAAAAAAGTTAGGTTACAAACTGTCAAATGTCAAAATTAAACAACGATTTTTTGATAAATATTGAAATGATCTTGATAAGAATCAAAAATGCTTTAATTTGATACTAAACATGATATATTTGGGTTAAAAAATAAAAAAGTTAGGTTATAAACTGTCGAATGTCAAAATTAAACAACGATTTTTTGATAAATATTGAAATGATCTTGATTAGAGTCAAAAATGCTTTAATTTGATACCAAACATGATATATCTAAGTTAAAAAATAAAAAAGTTACGTTATAAACTGACAAATGTCAAAATCAAACATAACGATTTTTTAATAAATATTGAAATGATCTTGATAAGAATCAAAAATACTTTAATTTGATACCAAACATGATATATTTGGGTTAAAAAATAAAAAAGTTAGGTTATAAACTGTCTAATGTCAAAATTAAACAACGATTTTTTGATAAATATTGAAATGATCTTGATAAGAATCAAAAATGCTTTAATTTGATACCAAACATGATATGTTAACTGATGTTTACGTTAAAAAATAAAAAAGTTAGAAACTGTCAACTGTCAAATAATCGCCATTTTTCTTCGCTAAAAATTAAGATATCTCGATAATGGTTGGAGATAAATAAGTCGAGTTTGGGTTCATTTTAAAGGATTTTTAATTTTCTATGACTCACTTGGTCCGGATAGCATCCGTTTCATCGCCCAACAGTTTGCATTGAAATGATCTTAATAAGAATCAAAAATGCTTTAATTTGATACCAAACATGATATATTTGTGTTAGAAAATAGAAAAGTTATGTTATAAATTTCCAAATGTCAAAATTAAACATAACGATTTTTTGATAAATATTGAAATGATCTTGATAAGAATCAAAAATGCTTTAATTTGATACCAAACATGATATGTTAACTGATGTTTACGTTAAAAAATAAAAAAGTTAGAAACTGTCAACTGTCAAATAATCGCCATTTTTCTTCGCTAAAAATTAAGATATCTCGATAATGGTTGGAGATAAATAAGTCGAGTTTGGGTTCATTTTAAAGGATTTTTAATTTTCTATGACTCACTTGGTCCGGATAGCATCCGTTTCATCGCCCAACAGTTTGCATTGAAATGATCTTAATAAGAATCAAAAATGCTTTAATTTGATACCAAACATGATATATTTGTGTTAGAAAATAGAAAAGTTATGTTATAAATTTCCAAATGTCAAAATTAAACATAACGATTTTTTGATAAATATTGAAATGATCTTGATAAGAATCAAAAATGCTTTAATTTGATACCAAACATGATATGTTAACTGATGTTTACGTTAAAAAATAAAAAAGTTAGAAACTGTCAACTGTCAAATAATCGCCATTTTTCTTCGCTAAAAATTAAGATATCTCGATAATGGTTGGAGATAAATAAGTCGAGTTTGGGTTCATTTTAAAGGATTTTTAATTTTCTATGACTCACTTGGTCCGGATAGCATCCGTTTCATCGCCCAACAGTTTGCATTGAAATGATCTTAATAAGAATCAAAAATGCTTTAATTTGATACCAAACATGATATATTTGTGTTAGAAAATAGAAAAGTTATGTTATAAATTTCCAAATGTCAAAATTAAACATAACGATTTTTTGATAAATATTGAAATGATCTTGATAAGAATCAAAAATGCTTTAATTTGATACCAAACATGATATGTTAACTGATGTTTACGTTAAAAAATAAAAAAGTTAGAAACTGTCAACTGTCAAATAATCGCCATTTTTCTTCGCTAAAAATTAAGATATCTCGATAATGGTTGGAGATAAATAAGTCGAGTTTGGGTTCGTTTTAAAGGATTTTTAATTTTCTATCGATTAATATTAAAAAAAGAACAGCTTTACAACTAAAAGAAAACTATGTTTTGGTATTTAACTCTTTCTTGGTTTCCGTGGTTGCCTATTTCGATCTCAAAGTACTTGAAATGCTAAACTTGTTCAATATTCTAGACTTTATAATTTTATGTATTAATAAGCTTTGGTCAACAGTATTTTTCTTCGTATTTTCCCAACCTAGCCACTGTTACTTGTTAGCTCCATCCAGGTCCTTCATTTATCTGTAAGTTTAGATAAGTGAAGAATTAGCTAGACAATTACTGTGTCTACGTCTACTAACAAAATTAGTCCATCTTAACTTAACTCGGAGACATTCATTTGCACACGACTCCACCTGACTTCGACACACTTCATAAAATCCACTCAAAACGATAAGCAAAACACACTCTTCAACAAAACCTTTTTTTATAATAATCAGATCATTGTAAAAACAAACACTCAAAGTGTTTTTACGTAACTTTACCATAAATATTAAAATAAATTTAAAATCAGAATCATGATTAAATTACTTTTCTTTGGTGTTCTTTTCACCGCAACGATTGCGCTTTCTTCTCAGGTGAGTTAATTTTTCTTTTTTTTGGGATTTTTCGAGGTGATTATTTGTTTTATAACTTTTCAAAAGTTAATGCATCAAAAAGATTTTCTTTATATGATTTATTTAATGCTATGGTGTAATCTAAGTATTTAGAAAATAAATGCTTTAGTTATTTGATGGTATTTTAACGACACTTAAAAGATAAGATAAATTACTTTAAAACTGTCTTATTATTTACCCATCAGCATAGATTTACCTCATTAAAAAAAATCCTAACTAACAAATTCGTTTTAATTCGAATCATTTTAATCGACTCATTCTTCTAGGAACCCCTTAAAGTCTCCATTTTCTATGAATCACTTTGTCCGGATAGCATCAGTTTCATCGCCCAACAGTTTGCATCTAAATGATCTTAATAAGAATCAAAAATGCTTTAATTTGATACCAAACATGATATATTTGTGTTAGAAAATAGAAAAGTTATGTTATAAACTGTCAAATGTCAAAATTAAACGACGATTTTTTGATAAATATTGAAATGATCTTGATAAGAATAAAAAATGCTTTAATTTGATACCAAACATGATATGTTTATTGATGTTTACGTTAAAAAATAAAAAAGGTAGAAACTGTCAACTGTCAAATAATCGCCATTTTTCTTCGCTAAAAATTAAGATATCTCGATAATGGTTGGAGATAAATAAGTCGAGTTTGGGTTCGTTTTAAAGGATTTTTAATTATCTATCGATTAATATTAAAAAAAGAACAGCTTTACAACTAAAAGAAAACTATGCTTTAGTATGTAACTCTTTCTTGGTTTCCGTGGTTGCCTATTTCGATCTCAAAGTACTTGAAATGCTAAACTTGTTCAATATACTAGACTTTATATTTTTATGTATTAATAAGCTTTGGTCAACAGTATTTTTCTTCGTATTTGAACAACCTAGCCACTATTACTCGTTAGCTCCATCCAGGTCCTTAATCCAGGAATTACCTAGACAATTGCTGTTGTCTACCAACAAGATTAGAACAACTCCCTATCTTAACTTAATTTGGGGAAGACGGATTCATTTGCGCACGATTCCACCTGACTTCGACCACTTCATAAAATCCACTCAAAACGATAAGCTAAACACACTCCTCAACAAAACCTTTTTTTATAACAATCAGATCATTGTAAAAAAAACACTCAAAGTGTTTTTACGTAACTTTACCATAAATACTAAAATAAATTTAAAATCAGAATCATGATTAAATTACTTTTCTTTGGTGTTCTTTTCACCGCAACGATTGCGCTTTCTTCTCAGGTGAGTTAATTTTTCTTTTTTTTGGGATTTTTCGAGGTGATTATTTGTTTTATAACTTTTCAAAAGTTAATGCATCAAAAAGATTTTCTTTATATGATTTATTTAATGCTATGGTGTAATCTAAGNTTACACAACGATTTTTTGATAAATATTGAAATGATCTTGATAAGAATCAAAAATGCTTTAATTTGATACCAAACATGATATATTTGGGTTAAAAAATAAAAAAGTTGTTATAAACTGTCAAATGTCAAAATTAAATGACGATTTTTTGATAAATATTGAAATGATCTTGATAAGAATCAAAAATGCTTTAATTTGATACCAAACATGATATGTTTACTGATGTTTACGTTAAAAAATTAAAAAGTTAGAAACTGTCAACTGTCAAATAATCGCCATTTTTCTTCGCTAAAAGTTAAGATATCTCGATAATGGTTGGAGATAAATAAGTCGAGTTTGGGTTCATTTTAAACGATTTTTAATTTTCTATCGATTAATATTAAAAAAGAACAGCTTTGCAACTAAAAGAAAACTATGCTTTAGTATGTAACTCTTTCTTGGTTTCCGTGGTTGCCTATTTCGATCTCAAAGTACTTGAAATGCTAAACTTGTTCAATATACTAGACTTTATATTTTTATGTATTAATAAGCTTTGGTCAACAGTATTTTTCTTCGTATTTGAACAACCTAGCCACTATTACTCGTTAGCTCCATCCAGGTCCTTCATTTATCTGTAAGTTTAGATAAATGAAGAATTACCTAGACAATTGCTGTTGTCTACCAACAAGATTAGAACAACTCCCTATCTTAACTTAATTTGGGGAAGACGGATTCATTTGCACACGATTCCACCTGACTTCGACCACTTCATAAAATCCACTCAAAACGATAAGCAAAACACACTCCTCAACAAAACCTTTTTTTATAACAATCAAATCATTGTAAAAAAAACACTCAAAGTGTTTTTACGTAACTTCACCATAAATACTAAAATAAATTTAAAATCAGAATCATGATTAAATTACTTTTCTTTGGTGTTCTTTTTACCGCAACGATTGCGCTTTCTTCTCAGGTGAGTTAATTTTTCTTTTTTTTTTTGGGATTTTTCGATTTGTTTTACAATTTTTTTCAATAGTTAAGAGGTAGTTCAATAGGTAATCAAAAAGATTTTCTTTATATGATTTATTTAATGCTATGATGTAATCTATTTAGAAAATAAATGTTTTAGTTATCTGATGGTATTTTAACGACACTTAAAAGATAAGCTAAATTACTTTAAAACTGTCTTATTATTTACCCATAAGCATAGATTTACCTCATTAAATAAAATCCTAACTAACAAATTCGTTTTAATTCGAATCATTTTAATCGACTCATTCTTCTAGGAACCCCTTAAAGTGTCCATTTTCTATGAGGCACTTTGTCCGGATAGCATCAGTTTCATCGCCCAACAGTTTGCACCAAATTACGATACTTTAGCCGAGAAAATAACTGTTGATTTTCTCCCTTATGGTTTAGGTTCAGTGAGTAATCACCACCTTACTATAAATTAAAATTAAATCAAATTTTAATTTTTTAGCATGAATTGATTAATGGTGTATATCACTTTCAATGTCAACACGGTGAAAATGAATGTTACGGAAATATGATGCAAGCTTGCGGATTAAATGAAACCAACGACCAAGCCACAAAAGCTAAATTTATTATTTGCGTTATGTCTGCAAGCAACCCTGCGAGTACTGCTTTAATGGAGGAATGTGCTATTGCAAGCGGAATTAGTTGGAATAATATGGTGGAGTGTTCTAAGAATGGTGTTGGGGCGACACTTTTGGCTGCTTATGGTGATCGGACTCACGCCGTTGAACCATGTATGACTTTCGTTCCAACTATTATTTATAACGATGTTTACGATGCCGATAAACAAGATAAGTCGTTAGTTGATTTCTTGAATACTGTGTTAAACCAATTATAAATAAAATAAGAAAGGGCAAACATTTTTAATGCCGTATTTGAGATATTAATAAAACTTTAATATTGCAATTTGAATTTAAAAAATACTCCTATTTTGTAGCTTACTTTCCTCAGCAATTATTTCTCGTTGATTGAGAAACCCATCTTTATAGATAAATAATCAGTTCAAATAAATTAGCACTTTAGGTATTCCCCTCAATAATTTAAAAGAATATATCCAAATTTATCTTTACTGTTTGTATACATAAATAGATGATTGTCAAATCCATGACAAAATACCAAAAAATTGACCTTTAGTGTCAAGATAATCTTTCAATCGTTAATTATAAATCTTTGTTTGGGTTAGTTCTCTTTCAATTTTCATAAATCTTCCACATTAACATGTTCTTATTAACATTATTCTTGGTTTTAATCCCACAAACTATATCACAGGTAAATTTGATTTGCACCAACAACATTTTCATTTAATTTCTTAACGTTTTAGACACCTCGTTTAAAAATGTCGATTTATTACGAAACTTTATGCAGCGATAGCGTAAATTTCATCAAAAATCAACTCGCCCCAAATTACGACGCAATCAAAAAAGACGTCGATTTCGATTTAATCCCATTTGGAAAAGCCACGGTAAATCAAATGACTCAACAAAAAATTATTTTAATATTTCCAATCGTAGCATAGTAAGAAATTGGATGACGATTGGACGTTTTTGTGTCAACACGGTCCTCAAGAATGTAACGGAAATATGTTACAAGCGTGCGGATTAAAATTCGCCGCGAATCAAGACGACAAAATTAATTTTGTAAACTGTGTCATGTCCGCAAAAAATCCTTCAGCAAAAACGACAACGAAAAAATGCGCCGAATCTAATGGTATTTCATGGGATGATTTACATAATTGTTACAATAGTAAAGTAGGAAGGGAATTATTAGCGCGAAACGGCGATAAAACTTATAACGTTCAACCTTCAATAAATTATATTCCAACAATCATTTTTGATAATAAATACGATTATTATCTTCAAAATCGGGCGATGTACGATTTAAAAGGAACTGTAAAGGGTTTGGTTGATGATTTAAATAGGATAAATTAAAAATATAAAAAATTTTTCTATTTGAGTTTAAATAATCTTTTATTACTCAACCCTTCAAGAATATTGTAAGATTATTAAAAAAATTAATTAAATGTCAAAATGTATGCAACCAAACATACATCTTTAAATGAATTATCACTTTTAACTTTAAATAAATTAATTTTCATCTATTAAAAATTGTGATAACCTCTCATAATAACCATTATGTAACTCATTTTTTAATTCATTTCTATCCAGCCACTTGTAATCGGAAATTTGCTTATTAATATTTCCGTTTGTGTATCGACCAAAATAAAAGAAAATCTTAAACATTTTAATTCATCATTATCTTTCCTCTAAATTATTTTTAAAACTTACCTTAGCACCCACACAACTTTGTTTTTCTTTTAGGTTCCCTGGATATTTATATTTGTAAACCCCGCAAGGTGCGTTACCGTGAATTTGAACTTTAAAATCACCTCCAAAAGTTTCTTTAATTACCCTATCGGCAGCCTAAAATATATTATTACATAAAAAAATTAATTTCATTTTATTATTATGAAAACCTGTCGCATATTTTCACCATCCTTCCTAAGACCTTGTGGTAACAAATAATGATCTTTATTACCAATTTTTTGTTTCATAACAAACACTAAATGTTTATCAAGTTTTCTATTTAACGATTTAACATTGTTTTTCTTATCACACTCGGTGATTTTTTCAGCTACTTTAAATCTTTTTAATTCCTCTCTACTAGCATCAAAAAAATCTTGGGCAGTTTGTTTTAACGCCATATCAACATCACCATCACCTTTTTTAAGCTGCTCCGCTTGTATCCTATTAAGAAATTTAATAATTACAAAAATTTACTTCATTTTACTGTCTAACTTACAAATCTTGTTCGTGTCTTATTTCATGATTGGATTTATGACTCCTTTCCAATTCGACTTTATCCAAGTACTTTTTAAAGTTTTCTTGTAAACCCGTCGATGGCGGAGCTAACGTTGGCCGTCTTTCGATGCAGACAGCCGAGATAAGATCCCATTTTTGAGAAGTTAAAGTTGAGGACTCTAAATTTTTAGATTATAACCTTCATTTGATGTTACTTTAAAACAAATTTACCTCTAATTGATGTTTTTGTTAAACGAAATACTTGAAAAGAGTTTCTTAACATTTTTATAACAAAATAAAAATGATTTAAATAATTCTTATTTTGAGGTTATGTTAGAATTGAGGTTAAGTTTCAAGTTTAAAAATATTTTTAAATAACATTATATTTAATTTATGTAATAATTAAATTCATCTTTACGAATTCGAATTGTTTTAAGAATACAAAGAAATTTTAATATTTCAAGTTTTAATTTTGATTTTATTTAAAAAATAATATTGCACCATCTAATGGTGTAAAATTGAAATAAATTAAATTTATTTTTTCTTTTGTATTTGAAGCAATATAAATTTATATTATCGTAGAAATGAATTATGTATCATTTTTTTTATAAAATTTACTAAACAAAGTTTAATTTATATTCATTTGATAATATATTTGAAATTATTATAATAGACACCTATTGACATAATATAGAACTAAATTGACAGTATTGACTTAAATTTCAACTTTCAAGAACCATTTCCATTTCCATTTAATCTTTATTAAAACATATTTAAAATAGAAATTTAATTATGTACTTTAGACTTGTACGTTGTGTTTGAAGAAAAAATTTAATATGGGGAATTCCTAAGGTATTACAAAAAATAATTCTAATTTGATCAATTTTGATGTAAAAGTGATTGATTTTTTAAGAATTTTCTGGAAATTTGGAATTAATAAAGTTTGAAAATCTGTTCACACTCGCTGCGCACACTTGGTTTTCCTCAGGGGCGCCGCTTATCGACCGACAACACGTTGCGTCAGTCTTCCGTGGAAGCCCTCGCGAACGGGATGCTGGATCCCGGAAAATTTCGGTGCCATGTCCTTCTGTCCGGCGGCCTCGAACAGCCTTTCGTTGGGGGGCGTCTCAGACTGCCCCCTTTCCGCTACTTCAACTAGTAGAGTCCCCGTTAGTCGGCGACTTTTAAGCGCTTCCATACAACAGGAGCCCCAATTCGCCGTCCTTCCATCGGCCTCCGTTTATCAACCGAGCAGAAAACGCGAAGAGGCACATGCTTTACAAAATTTACGAAGACGCGTGCAATCTTTAAGAATTGTTCACGCTAAAACAGGGAGTGAAACTGCGAAATCAAATAATGGGAATGATGGGGAATTGCAACAGGAGGAGCTTGACAATCGTCCGCAACTTTTACATAAGGTTTATTAATTAGATATTTAACTTATAAATGAATGTTTAAAGTTTATTACTTTTTAATGGAAAATGTGTATATTAAGGGGTTAAAATTGCTTTTTGCGGTCAATTATTGCCACGAACTTTGCGTGCTTAACGTGTTCATTAACATATATGGCTGGTTGGAAGTGTAAAAGTTAATCTGTGGCAATAAATTAACTTAATCGTTTTATTTTATTCCACTTTAAATTTTATTTCTTTTTCAGATTCTTTCTAACCGTCCAGTTAGCATGGTTTTAGACATTTCTGATTTGCGAACAGCTTGGAAAGACAGCGATTTTATTACAGATTGTCTTTGTTGGCACAATGTGTACCGACAAAGACACACATCTCCAGCACTTTCAATGTCTTCTGAAGTAAATAACTAATATTTGTTATACCAAAAATTCTTTGTAACAATTTTTTTTATTTTTAGTTGTGTCATTTAGCACAAACTTGGGCAAATCACTTGGCTCATACGAATCGTTTTTATTACCGTAATGATAAAGATATTGGTCAGAATTTATTCTGTAGGCCATCGACTCCGCTTCAAAACGACGTTTCCGGTACGGAAGTTGCTTCGTATTGGTATAGTGCCGTGAGACAGTACGATTACGGAAAGGAACCCGATGTTTTGCACGCCAATGTAAATGCGGGTGAGTTCTTAATTTAAAACTAAGAACTGTACGCACGCAAGAACTGTCAAAACGTGTAACCCGCACCCTCTTGCTTTTTGAATATGCATAGCGTGCGAACCTTCAACTTTGGCTTGTATTTGAAAATTGATTTTCTTTAATCAACTTTTTTTTAACTCTTTCAATCACATCTAAATACACAAAAAATCACAATTTGATTTATTTTTTTTATTTTTAGGACACTTTACACAGTTAGTTTGGAGAAGTTCAAAATATTTTGGCGTTGGAAAAGCGAGATCGAGATCGGGAAAAGTGGTAGTGGTGGCGCATTACGCCCCAGTTGGAAACATATCAGGTGCTTATAAATATAACGTTTTGCCTCCGGTTGACGAATATCCGGCTTTGCCCGCCCCTCAAAAGCCGAGATTAATCCTATCGACGGGAAGCACGGAAACGGATTCAAGCGAAAATACGACGACAACGAGTAGTAGTTGTAAGAGATAGCAATGAAAAGTTAGTACAAAAGAAAATTGTAAATTAATAAGAAGGAAAAAGAAGAAATGAAGGAAAAAACCTAATTAGAAGAAAATTCTTCTTTAACTTTGTATTTTTTAGTCACTCAATTTTTAAATTTTTGGGAAATTTTCAATGAAGATTTTTTTATCACGTTCGCTACCGACGCACAGTGGAGTATTTGACCCAAATTGTCGATCAAAATTATTATATTAGTGATAAATTATTGTCATCAAAAGCAAAGCTTATTGAAATTGGGTTGGTAATTATCTAAAAATGGAAAAATGAAACAAAAATATTTAATAGGTAATTAATAATTTTATTAGTATTTTTTATGTAGTAAAAAAGTAATTAATATATTGTATTTTTTTAATAAGACGAAAATTAAGTCGCATCTCGCTCTTCTTCATCTGACTCTTCGTCACCTTCGCTAGTTTCATCTTTGTCCTCCGCATCCCATGGAAGTAACATTTTAATTGTCTCCGGCCTGAACGGTTTTGACTTTTTAATAGATTTAGGTCTACTGCAGCTTAAAAATGGATCTGATGTTAACAAAAGGCGATTCATGACATCCAGGTTGCACTGGACCCGGCAAAATTTAAGTGAATATTTTTCCCTGTACTGACGGAAATGTTTATTTCTGCTCTCTGCCGCCTCTTCTGATAGAGCTCCTATAGGCAACAGTGCTTTTTCTATTACTGTTGGGCCATGTATCAAAATTTTATGGAGGGTTGGTGACATGGGGTACCAGTAATACAACTGGATGTAGAGCTTAGCCGTATATCGACAGTACTCTGAAAATTTATTTACGTCAATTTTATGACCACTGGATATTACTTCCAGAATTGTAGCCAATCTTTCAATGAGGGTTTGGTCGATTCCTGTTATACTTGCCGAGGTTTCTACGTTAGAGAAGAATCTTCCATCGTTGCTGTTGCCGTAGTTGGCTTTAGGTACGTCAACGATTTGGCCAAGTTCTTTTCTAAACTTTTCTTGAATAATTTGCTTCCGTTCTTTTATAATATTCTTTTCTGATTCTGTTCTTGTTTGCCACTTTTTTATTGTAATTTTATACGAAATCGACAATCCAAACTCCAAGTTTTCTGAGTTTATAGGTGCTTTTTCAGATTTTTCCAAATCATTGAAATCTTTTGACGTAAGCGTACATTTGTAACATCACATGGTCGAGCCTGTATTGGTAGCGGCATTACAGACTTTACCATCTACCATGGTAAATAACATTTTATGGTTGACCGTCACTTCTTTGTCTCCGATATTATTTTCGGTTGTACTTAAATGTTTTATCTGCTCTTTGTGATAATTAATTTCCTCATTTGTCACATCTTTCGATTCCCTGATAAATCTGATTCTCATTGGTCGGCAAAAACGTGGTGAGGAGGGTTTTGCCAAATTACTTTCTTATTTTTCTTACAAATAAGCTGAAGAGGTACTAGTGACGACTGGAAAATGTTGGAATCGGAATCGCTGCTATTTGAAAATGTTTGTTTGAATTGTGCTTGTTGAGAGCCATCACAACCCCATTTATACGTCAGCTCCAAGGATGCCAATTCTTTTCGTGTGAGAGATATCAAAACTTCTTCTAGGTAAATAATAAATCGCTTTGCAGTATGATCTGCTAATGCTTGTAATTTAATTTCCGCACACGTTTCAGTAACACGATAAGCATTCGAGTCTGGATAACAATCTTGTTTTGCTCTCTGTAGAAGTGAATAAGAGGGATATAGTTTTCTTGAGCTTTCTCTAATAATTTCATATTGTTTTCGTGTCAATGAAGCTTCTACAAACATAGATAACGCTTGTGTTGGTGTTAACTTTTCGGGCTCAGACGTCTCACTCTTTCTAAAAGCTTTCTTATATTTATTACCACGTGACGGCGATGACATGATGTCCTTTACCACTTGTGCTCCACTCACATTTCCAAATTTTCGAAGAGCCATTTGACCAGCAAACAAGAGAGCTTCAGCTTCATTCTCCTTCCTCAAAAATGTTGTTTTGCGGCGTTTACTGCAATCGCTTAAATCTTCAAAAGCGCTTTCCGGACGACCACCTATATTCGACATACATTTCTGCGTTATTTTAACAGTCCCTTGCAACCAATTACGATTTTTTTCTAAGAACGCTTTTTCTGTACGATTAGCAGCTTGCCATTTAGTTTTCATCTCAGATTTAACTCGCGAAAATGTTCGCAAAAATTGTTGCTTTTCCTTATCCGCGAACGTTCGCCGTTTTATGATGTTTCTTTCCACTATATCCAATTTCTTCGCAAAATCTCTTCCATTACATTGTTTTGTAAGATTATATATGCCTTCTCGAGTCATGACATTGAAACCAACATAATCTAAAACGAGGAACAGCTTAGAATAGTAAAGGGCGTACCAAAAATAAGTATGTCTTGCCTACATACTACTAGTTTAATTTATTTTTTTTTAATATTTTAGGCAGTTTCTGGCAGTAGTTGTTTATAGTATAGTAGAGTAAATTCTTCAAACAAAAAAATGTGAAAATAAATAAAATCGGGAAGAGCCTGGAAATAAAACAAAAGCTCTTCGTAATATAGAAGAAAAACAAAAATAAATACTAAGCATGCACAAATAGAATAAATAAAAAATAACTAAGACTATAGAATTAAACTTGAAAAAAGTACTTGATTCTATTTATACATACCTGGGTCTGTAAC